TTGTGGCTCAAGTGGTAGAGCGCTAACCTTGAGGTGAAGAGCTAAGGGACAGTGCCCAGGCCCAGAGTTCAGGCCTATGACCGGACCAAAAAGATAAAAGAATGTGGAGTCATGTAGAAATGATTCGACAAATTAAGTAGAGGTCCTTTGTTTCTTGAGTCCCATTTGCGTTGTCATATCTGCTTGCATTTTGAATTTAATATCCACATATCAGGGATATAGGTGCTGTTTGTCTCTCTGATCTTGGATCATAGTTCAAAGCCAGCCTGGGTAGGAAAGTCCATGAGACTCTTTTTTTTTTTTTTTTGCAGGTCATGGGGCCTAAACTCTGGGCCTGGGCACTGTCCCTCAGCTCTTCAGCTCAAGGCTAGTGCTCTACCACTTGAGCCACAGCGCCACTTCCAGCTTTTTCTGCTTATGTGGTGTTGAGGAATCGAACCCAGGGCCTCATGCATGCAAGGCAAGCACTCTACCACTGAGCTACCTTTCCAGCCCTCTCCATGAGACTCTTATCTCCAATTAACCACCAGAAAAACTGGAGGTGGCGCTGGGGCTCAAGTGGAGTGATAGTCTTGAGCTGAAGAACTCAGGGACAGTGTCCAGGCCCAGAATTTAAGCCCCATGACTAATAAAAAAAAAAGAGAGAGAGAGAGATAGTGTGAGACTCTTATCTCTAATTAACCACAAGAAAAAACAAAAAGAAGTAGAGGTATGGATCAAGTGATAAGGCACTGGTCTTGATCAAAAAAGCCAAGTGAGATCAGGAAGCCCTGAGTTCAAGTCCCAGTACACTCAGTCTCTCCCTCTCTCCCTCCTTCTCCCTCTCCCTCTCCCTCTCTCTCCCACCTTCCCTCCCTCCCCCTCTCTCTCTCTCTTTCTCTCTCTCATACACACACTCAGGAGGAGAGGAAAAGAGAGTAATAGAGGAGATGAAATTCATTAGAATACATTTTAAATACGTGTGGAAATGTAGCAATGAACCCCCCACATATAACTAATATGAACTAATAAAAAGAAATAAAAGGATAGCATGCTCATTAGATAATTTGGGCCATGGATGTAGTTCATGATGTATTGGCAGAGCAATTGCTCTACCACTGAGATGTTTAAGCTCTAGATTTGATCCCCAGCATTGACAAAAAACAAACTTTTTTTTGGTGGTACTGTCATTTCAATTCATGGGTTCCTGCTTGCTAGGCAGGTGCTTTATTGTTTGAGCCATGATGCCAGACTATCCATTTTTTGGTCAATTCTGGGGCTTGAACTCAGAGCCTGAGCAATGTCCCTGAGCTTTTTTTGCTCAAGGCTAGCATTCTACCACTTGAGCCACAGTGCTACTTCCAGCTTTTTTTGTTTATGTGGTGCTGAGAAATCAAACTGAGGGCTTCATGCATGCTAGGCAAGCACTCTACTGCTAAGCCACATTCCTAGCCTAGTCTATCCATTTTCTTTTCTTTTCTTTTTTAATTTTTGGCTGGTTGTGGGGCCTGAACTCTGGGCCTGGGTCCTGTCCCTCAGCTTATGTGGTGCTAAGGAATTAAACCTAGAGCCTCATGCACGCAAGGCAAGCACTCTACCACTGAGCCATCTTCCCAGCCTGCCTATCCATTTTTATATATCAATTTTGTTCTTCAAGTTGTTTTCTAAGTATGCATATAATTTTCAAGAGTTCATTTTTATACTATTACTTCAAATGTACCATGATAGTGGAGTTAGAGCTAAACCTTCATTTTTATTAGCATCATGGCATTTCCTTTAATGGATGAGCTGTAATATGTATGTGAAATTAGGAATTATGTTAGAGATAATGGGGAGTAAACCTTCCTAAATTTTAAATCACAAGCCACAGAGTGTTAATGATGACTATGCTATGCATTGTGGTAATTGATTTTTAATTTTCAGTTTGGAAACTTATTTGGCAATTTTTTTTTGTAATTGGCCTGGGGTTGGTAATTATAAATAAAGAAGAATAACCAGGCTCCAGTGGCTCATGCCTGTAATCCTAGCTACTTTAGGAGGCTGAAGTCTGAGAATCAATGTTCAAAGCCAGCCTGGGAAGCAAAGTCAATTAACCACCAAAAAGCCGGAAGTAGAGCTGTTGCTCAAGAGGTAGAGAGTCAGCCTTGAGCTAAGAAGCTAGTACCTAGGCCATGAGTTCAAGTTTCACTACCAGTGCTAAAAAGAAAGTTATAAGTAAAAAGGTATAGGGAGAAGGTATATGTTGACATTTCTCTTTTAACACTTTGCTATTTGACATAGATTTTTTTCTTTCTTTTTTTTTTTTTTTAAAGCTATACAACCTAGGTTGGCCTTGAACTCATGATCTTTCTGTCCCAGACCCTCAAGTCCTGGGATTACAGATATGTTATAACCACATGCTCAAAAGTTCATTTTCTTAAGAATATGGATTATCTTTTGTGGTTTGTAGTAGTAAACTTAACTTTGGCCTCTAAACTATTTTTGTGAAGTCTCAAATGGAATACTTTGGTTAACTTCACAATCTGCATACTTCTGACTTTTTTAGAAACTCCCAAATTGAATTTAGGGCATGCTGCATGAATAACTGTAGCTCAGAGAAGTCCCCATTATGCCATGGTTATTTATTAACCACGTGATCATTTATTAAGAGGTAATTTAAAAGATGCTTTTGCTGGGTCCTATGAATTAACCAAAATTCTCCCAACTTTGTGCTCTTTTATCTGAGTTAACTCTCTGCTGCAGTCCCTTTGCAAATACCCGTTTACAGAAAATACAAAACCCAAACACCACTTTGTGTAAAAGGCAAACTGCCTCTAGAATAAGCAATGTCTTCTTGTTATCTTAAAGTAAAGAAAGAAAAATTCAGGTGACCATCTGTGAGTCAAGTTCTGCCCAGTAAAGTGATAACAATTTCTCTAAGACAGACTGAGCTAATGGTCAACCAGCCCATACCTGGGACTTGGAGCTCTTTTAACTCTAATTACCTTTCTTATCCCCATCACTCAATTCTCCCAGTTTGACCTGAGGCCAATGTCTGTACCTTTGAAGATGGCTGAAGATGTACTGAAGTGCTGTCCAGCTGCCATGTAATAAATCTCCCCTCTCTGCCTTTCATCATGTCTCTTTATTTGGCATATGGGAGTGAGTGGCTAGATTTAATTTGGGACTCTTGGAGTTTTGGCCTGGGTCAAAAAAACCTGGTTTCAATCTTAGGATTGAACTGTATAGAAGTTCAGCAGACAGACATGAGGGTCTAAATTCAGTAATTATTCTATTTTCCAGAACTTTTGCTCTGGGTTGATTTCACTCTCTGTATAAGTGCTTTGGCTTTTGGTGGGTCCTTTTTTCTCATATGAAAGGTGGCACCTTGTAGCAGAAATCCAGTTGGAGAGAGGACTTTTAGCCAGACATAATTTTTGAATTTGCAAAACTCATTTGTAAATTACTCTGACTTGAAGTTTCTAGTGTGTCAAATTAGGTGAAGGTGCATTATGTACAATGTGATGTCAATATTTAAGAATAAGAATGATAATTCCTATCCTCATGCCCTCGGCCTCCTTTCTAGGCACTTGCATGTCCCTTGAAGTTCAAGGACAAAACTGTATAGTTGGCTTATACAATTTTATTTTATTTTGAAATCCCTGCGTAAAAGGGACTTAGCAGGGTGCTGGTGGCTCATGCCTGTAATCCTATCTACTCGGGAGGCTGAGATCTGAGGATTCCAGTTTGAAGCCAGCCCTGGCAGGAAAATCTGTGAGACTTTTTTTTTTTTTTTTGCCAGTCCTTGGGCTTGAACTCAGTGCCTGGGCACTGTCCCTGAGCTTCTGTTGTTCAAGGCTAGCGCTCTACCACTTGAGCTACAGTGCCACTTCCAGCTTTTTCTATTTATGTGATACTGAGGAATTGAACACAGGGCTTCATGCATGCTAGGCAAGCACTCTATCACTGAGCCACATTCCCAGCTCCTATGAGACTTATCTCCAATAAACTACTCAGAAAAAGCTAGAAGTGGAGCTGTAGTTCAAGTGGTAGAGGGCTAGCCTTAAGCACACAGAGGATCAAGGACAGCTCCCAAGTCCTGAGTTTAAGCCCTGGCAAAAGAGAGAGAGAGAGAGAGAGAGAGAGAGAGAGGAAGAAAGAAAGAAAGAAAGAAAGGAAAGAAAGAAAAAGAACGAAAGAAAGAAAGAAAAAGAACGAAAGAAAGAAAAAAAGAAAAAGAAGAGTGCAACTTTTTTTTAGGATCTCGGGCTCCTAACCTCAAGATTTGTGTTAGTTCAGTTCTCTTTGGCATCCAGATTGGGGCTATGTTTTATTCACTGTTGGGAATATTTTGTTGCCAATCTATCTGGAGGATTTTAATCTAGCTAGGTCACCTTTCTGGAGACATCAAGGACCTTTTTGCATTCACATGGAAAAGACTCCAGGCACAGGCTAGTAATTATTTATCAAGGCAGGAACTGTGTGGTTCAACTTGCTTTGGCTCAGATCAGTTCCCGGAGTCAGAGAGACACCATTCTGAAAGGGTTTTTAGTTATCATGATTCCAAATCTGAGGCCTGGGTGTATTTTAAGACTTTGTCCAACACACAAAGGGTGGAACTTGAGTTTGGAATCCATTCTCTCTATTAAGAGTTGTTGCAAAGGTACCATAAAAACCTAGGATCAGAGACCACTTGGAGCACGTTTCTGAAGTTAAACAGAAAGGTGAAGTCTCAAAGGTGACTGGACCGACTTTGAGATCGGCCTAAGACCGGTTCAGCCCGGTGCACGGATCCCCTCTCCCACCTGCCTCTCCTTTAGGACTTCCTCCTCTATTTTGCATATCCCGCCCCCTCGAATAGCCCTGCCCCACTCAGGTGGCACCACCGCTTCCGGGTAGTCCAACGCTCCACCCTCCAAGAGGAACCAAAGTGTTTCGTTCGACTCCGGGGACGACCGGAAGTTTGTTGCTCAGACTCCTCGTAGCGGTGACTCGGCAGCCGCGTCTCGCGTCATCAGTGACAGCCCCGATCCTCGCCCCGCTCTGCGTCGCCCTGCCAAGGGGCAGTCGCTTCCTCCTGGGCAAATAGTCCTCGGCGGGGTCCGAGTTCTTGGGTAAATCTGCAGGCGGAGGCGCTAAAAGTTGCAGTCTGAGAGAGGCACGGGATCGGCCCGAAGAGCGCGCTCGTGACGGAAGTGTCTACGGTGGTGTGTGAAGTTAAACACTCCCTTCCTCCCGAGGATCCCTCCGCCTGCGGTAGCGGTGGTGAGGCCGAGGGAGCCGCCATTTTGGATGTTCGGTTCCTGCTGCCACTGCTGCCGCCGCCCCCGAAGCTGCTGGTTTCAGTCGAGGTTTCGGGCCGGTGAGTGTCACTCGCGGCGCGGGGAACGTATGGTTTCTTCCCCCCCCCCCCGCCTCCCTCCGCTGCGGCTGGGAGCTTACGGCCGGAAGCTCCCTGTCAGTCCCAGAGGTCCGGTCCCAGCTTGTGGGGGGCGAGAAGACACCGGACCCAGGTTGGGCCAGGAGGGGCCCCCGGAGCCCCCCACCCCCCAGGGGTTGCCGGGACTTCCAGAGGGCCGAGCCGAGGCCCGAATTCCAGAGCTTCTGTCCGCAGCAGCGTTTCCCTGCGGTGGCGTTGGCCGGCCGGTGGCAGGCCTTCTTGAACCCATTGACTTTCTCGGGCTGCGATCCTCCTTCGATAGCTCATTCAGGGGACCGAGGAATGAGCGGGGCGGGCCCCACTCCCCCGCGTGTCCTCCCTGAGCCACGTTGCCTGCGTTTCTTGTGGGGTGTTACTCGGGTCAGGGCTGTCCGAGAACTCTCAACGTTTCCACAGCTCCTGCCCCTGCAATGCCTACTCAAACCGGACATCGGCCTCGCCTCCCTCTCTCTCACCTTGCCAACTAACTTCTTTCCCAATTTTCCCTCTCTATCCCTCCCCCTCTTCACCCGCCACCCCCCCACCCCCGCTTTAAAACTCACTTGCGACTACAATGTTCTCCCCTTCTTCCCAAACTCTTTGTCCGGCGGACTTCAGTTTCTAGTAATTCTCTGGATCTTCCTGATTGCCTGGCAGAGTCTGGTTGGCTATGCTTCCGTGATAGGGTTTGGTGTAGGAGACTGTCGGTCCACCCGCTCAGAATGTACTTCCAACAAAAGTCAGTGTGTAGAGAAAACAGAATAAATGACTTTCTTTTTGAATATGTGGGAAGGAGGGGGGTGTTAAATGTCTTCTATTTGTATGCCCTTTCTGTGTTGAACATTGACCTTTGGGTACTTACTGGAAATTTTGTATATTTTTGAGGTGTTTTGTATCCCTGAGCATGGGGACCTGTGAAGAAAGAACATTAATCCGACGTAGGTAGGAGAGTAACTTTTTTGGTTGCTATAGGGATTACTTAACAGAAGCAAAGACCGAATGATTTCTTAGCGATCCGAACTTTCAGGTGTTTGTACAGTAATGATTTCTGCCGACTGATTCTAAAAATACCTGCACTGACTTCGGATGTTGGTTTTTCTTGAGCTCGTTAGATTTTAAGTATTTATTTACAATGTTGTCCATAGTTCCTGTCAGACAAACATATACTTTTAAGTTTTGGTTTGAGAAGTATAGATCTGCAAGATACTCATAATACCACTTTTATTCTTCAGTCCAGTATGTTTGAATAAAAACTATTTCACAGTAATTCACCGATTAATTTCCTACATTTCAAGTTTAAGTGAGTATGGTTGAATCAACCTTTATTTCACTTCAGCTGGATTTTACATCTGAAAAATGATTATTAAATGATTATTAGAATTTAAATTTACAACTTGAACCGAGTCATACTTTCTAATACCTGTAAACCATTTATAGATTCATTATTCTTATCTTAAAATGAGACTAGAAGTTCTTGTGCAGGTCATATAGTATTCTCAAGACAATGTTTTTAGTATAAATACTCTTGTGTTCTTTTTTAAGGAGATCTTTCAAAACTATGGCAGATACTATTTAGGTATTCTGTGAGTGTATTGCTCTAAAGCTGTGCAATTTTCTTTTTTGTTTAAAAGACTGTCAAACTGATTGCTTGAGCTGCGCTCACTTACTAAGAATCTACTGTTGTTTACTACTGAAAATATGTTTCTGAATTATGTTTTGCAAATAGGATCTATTAGACAGCTATAGGTGATAGTTAAGTCAGTTTATATTGTGGTATTATATACTGATACTTGAATACCATTCTTTTTTTTTTTTTTTGTCGGTCGTGGGGCTTGAACTCTGGGCTTGAGCGCTGTCGCTGTGCTCTTCAGCTCAGAGCGCTCTACTGCTTGAGCCACAGCACCACTTCCACCATTCATTCTTAAGTGGTTTGCAGTTCACCTGTGGGATTGTATCCTTTCTGCCATAACATTAATCAGTACATATGTGAATGTCTGCTTTGCTTAAAGCTGTTAGAAATTGGTGTTGAAATTAACATTGTTTAGCATACTCCTTTTTCTTTTTTTTTTCTTTTTCTTCTTTCCCTTTCTGAGGATGAAACCGGGGCCTTTGGAATACCAGGCAAGCACTCCACCTTGAGCTACATCCATTAATTGGGACAAAAATATTTATCCTCATAAATGAACAGAAAGGTTTCACTTTGATATTTTCATACGTAATACTTTGTAATTGTAGACCATTTCTCATGTGTTGTCTCTTTTTATCTTTCTACTAGCTCCATGAAACAGAGCAGTAAGTGTTTTCTTTTTTTTTTTTTTTTCTCATTTTGTCCTTGTGGGACTTGGACTCAGGGCCTCAAGTTTGCTAGGTGTAGGCACTGTGCCACTTGAGCTATGCCTCTACTACCCCTGACAAATGCATGCAATATAATTTATTGTGTGTGTGTGTGTGTGTGTGTGTGTGATAGAGTTTTTACTAAGGGCTTGTGTTTTCCTAGGGAAGAAGCTCTACTGTTTGTGCCATGCCTTCCAAAATAGTTGCAATAACAGGCACACATTACACTCAGCTTTTTCTGTTGAGTTGGGAGTCTGAAGAACTTTTTTTTTCCTGGCCTGGCATTTTGGTCCTCCTGATCTAAGCCTCCCATGTAGCTGGGATGAAGGTATATACCACTGGGCACAGATTGAATTGGTCATTTTTTGAGATTGGGGTCTCATTATATCTGGGGCTGCCTGGATTGCTGTCCTACAATTTATTTTTCCAAGTAACTGGGATGATAACACCATTCCCAGCTTTGTATTACTTGAGACAGATTACTTGCCTGAGCTGGCCTGGAACCAAGATTTTGCTGATCTCAGTGTCCTAGGTAGGATTACAGATGTAAGCCACTGAACGTGGCAAAAAAAAAAAGGGTGGGGAGAGGGATTTTAAAAATCAGTGTTAAACAAAAAGTCAAGATGTGTGTGTGTGTGTGTGTGTGTGTGTGTGTGTGTGTCTGTCTGTCTGTCTGTCTGTCTGTGTCTGTCGGTCTCTCGGTCGTGGGGCTTGAACTCTGAGTGTGGGCACTGTCCCTCAGCTTTTCAGCTCAAGGCGTGTGTGCTCTACCACTTGAGCCACAGCACCACTTCCAGTTTTCTGGTGGTTTATTGTAGATCAGTCTTGTGGGACTTTCCTGCCTGGACTGGCTTTGGACCATAATCCTCAGATTTTAGCCTCCTTAGTAGCTAGGATTACTAACGCCCAGCTTAAGGTGGCATTTCTTTCTTTTCTTTTTTTTTGGTCGGTCATGGGGACTGAACTCTGGGCCTGGGCGCTGTCCCTCAGCTCTTCAGCTCAAGACTAGCACTCTACCACTTGAGCCACAACTCCAGTTCTGGCTTTTTTCTGAGGTGCTGAGGAATCAAACCTAGGGCCTCATGCATGCAAGGCAAGCACTCTACCACTAAGCCACCTTTCCAGCCCCAATGTGGCATTTCTTTATGAGTTGTTTGCAGTTTTTTTGTGTGTGCTTGTGTGATTATTTTTTTTTTCCTTTGCCAGTACTGAGGCTTGAACACAGGGCCTCTTGTTCTCATTTGCCATTTTCTCTCCTACCATTGGAGTTACAACTCCACTTCCAGGTTTTTGCTGGTTATTTGGAGATAAGTCTCATGGACTTTTTTGCCTGGGTTGGCTTTGAACCATGATCTCCAGATTTTAGCCCCCTGAGTAGCTAGGATTACAGGCCTGAGCAATCAGTACTTATCTGCTCCCAGTTCTTGATTGTGAATTTCTCTTATCCAGGTTTTGTTTTCCCCGGTCATTTCTTTCCCTTTCCTCCCTCCCTTTCTATCTTTTGGAAACAAGGTCTCATCAAGTAACCTTGAAGTCAATGTTCCTGTTGTTTCAACCCCTTGAGAGCTAGGATTGTGGGTCTCTGCCATAACACCTGGCCTTATTGTTTTTTATGCAGGATAATATTAAATAGCAAGCAGTTTTAAAACTAAGATAATATGTAGATTTATATAAATAAGCTCATATTTGTCAAAAATCATATTGTTGTCAAAATGTATTAGGAATTTTCCAGTTCTTTTTTTGGTTGTGTGTGTAAAATTTTAATTTCATAAAATAAGGAATGAGAAAAAGAAAAGGAGGAAGTAGGTATATTTCCTTGAAAATACTTTTATGCTTCTTCAGTGAAGGAGTAGCACAAAACTTAATTTGACATAAGTTCAGGGTGCTAGAACAAACCTGTCAATTTTTTTTTTTCTATTTCCCCCAGTCGTGGGGCCTGAACTCTGGGCTTGGGTGCAGCTCTACCACTTGAGCCACAGTGTCACTTCTGGCTTTTTCTGCTTATGTGGTGCTGAGGAATCAAACCCAGGGCTTCATGCATGCAAGGCAAGCACTCTACCACTGAGCCACCTTCCCAGCCCCAAACCTGTCAAATTGTGCAGGGTCCAGAAGTTAGGGAAAAAAAAAAAAAACAGTAGTTAAAACAACCCACACTAGCACACTTGTTGAATCAGCATTAGCTTACATTTTGGTATTAAAGATCAAAGTTTAGGTTAAGGTGATTGAAATGAGAATTTTTTTTTCACTAGGTGCTTGGAAGTTTTGCCTTTGCTTAAAAATTATTTTGTTATTATTTATATGGAGTTATACACAGGTTATTTTTTTGTTTTTGTTTTAAAAGCTTACTCAGGTCAAACAAAATTGCTAGAAGTGTGATCAGTGAAAAAATTTGAAATAGATTTAGGACAAAAATCAGTTCTTTGAAGATGGAGAAAGTACATGTGACACCTGTTGCATGAAGAAAAGACAACCTTAGAGACAAGTAGTTTTTTCCTTCTTTGTGTATTAAAGTCCCCATGTAACCTGATAGGCAGTAACTTTGCTAACTCCAGCTCTCTTGTTTCCCCTTGTATTCACTCCTGTTGTACTGAGCATTCTAGGCTTTTTAG